GGAAACCTGTTGCTCGTCGGCAATATCAGCCAAATACACAAAGCCGTGGTTTCCGTTTACACAGAGAGCGTGCGCCTTAAATTTTTCGTTGACACTGTCGTTTTAGTTTTCTATCCTCAACAGCGGGTTCAATCCATTCACATAGCTTTACGTTTTTTTCTCTTACAAAATAATAATAATAATAATAAAACGAGTTTCATTGGCTAGATACAGTTCGACCCGTTACACGCTTTTTTCGAAGTTCAAAGTACTGAATGCAGTCATAACAAATTAGATTTGCTAATGACAAAGAAAGAACCTAACATCGATATAGCATAGTCAAAAACTGTTATCTTCATACTAATTTTGCGCAGAGAAAATTGTTTTTCTATCCATGGGAACGCCGTAACTGAGCGATACTTACCCAGCATCTTGTTTTTCTTTCACCAATAATTCATGAGTAATAGCAAGAAAATAAGAAGAGACTGTTTGGGTATTGGACTGAATAGTCTTCGTGTCGCACTCTGGCGCAGAAAATTGTTTCTTCGATCATTTTGTTTCACCATGATTAGATTTCTTATCAGAAACATTTGAAGCTTGTTTGTAAATAGCCATCATGTACAGTGGGACAGTAATGCTTGGAAGAAGATTATCCCTTGTTTTGCGTTTGCATAACAATGGAGGCCATGTCTCACGATCGCACCAGTAGTACGGGACACAAAATGTCAGCTGTTTTCTACAATTTTTACACTCTTTCTTAATGTATGCTTATTGTCCAAAACTGCACATTGGGACCGCCGTCAAATCGAGCCGAGTACGATCGGGCTAAGACAAAATATACGTTTGTTTTTGTTTTAAAGACAATGCTTATGTCACAGTAATAATAGTCTGTTGAAGGTGACAAGTGTAAAAATGGGTCTTTTGATTATCGAGGACACTTTTCAATGGACTTGATTACGGACAATGCGTGGCCTAAAATTCATTCGGAAATTCTGCAGTGTGCTCTCGTAATTAGCGGATTTAGTAATCTTTTACAAGGTTCATCATTTTTGTTGTCACGTGGTAATTATATAAACATTGACTGTCCAGTTTGTGCGAACATTTCCCTCTATACTTATGCTTTTGAATCATTTATGCTAAATTATGTTTCTGAATTAGATAACAGACAGAGAAAGCTTTATTCAAAATAGTCATCAAACTCTTCTCGCTACCTTAAATGTAGTGGGAGAACGGTAACTAGAGCTTGAAGGTCAGTCCAACCTCTCTTATTAGAGTATTACCGTACTCACCGTATCGTACCTACTAGACAATATGAATATTATATTTTGACAATATATCCCACGCGATTCACACACAAAAAAGAAAGAAAGCAAATGTTTTTTGACCACAATCACTCATCTCAAAATTATATTTCATTTGAAAACATGTCAGTGTCACTGGTCATTTCAAAATTCAAATACACTAAATTACTGAACCCCTCCAAGAAATCAAATCAGACAAAAACAAAATGCGTCATTCATTGCATTGGTGACGCACATTAGAATACATTGTCTAGCATAACAATAGGTTTTGTATTTCATGAGACAATTAATTGGATAATTATCAGTTTATCACTAGGGCGATTTAACCACCACTAAAGAATCTTGTGTCCCAATGCCATGGGCAACACTCTGGTGTAGTTTTCCATGGAGGTTAGGAAGAGACATGAATACTAGTAGTCACGTAGTGTGGCGGATGGGATGAGTGAGCGAGGTACTCGCAACACGCCATGTTTTGCCAGCCTGAAAATACATTTTAAGCTTGTAGGACATGATGACAATGATGTAATTTAAAAAAAAATAAAGATAGATTTTTTCCGAGTGTGACATCAACTAATTTGATTTTTCCACCACGCATACTACAATATATATCAACAATTTTATTTTAAGTAAAAAAAAAACAAAACAAAACAAATCCAATTAAATTTAACCAGTTGCTGAGAACAAGATAAAAACATGTATACCAAGACGTTATGTATATGCGAGTTTTTGCTATTAAAATGCTTACAATTACAAATATTTGAATAGTGCTATTATATTGGTGTGTAGCCTTTCAAAGGTATATAACATGTTTGATTTGACTTGCTTCCATGACTTACTTTGCTATTGCTATGTGATAT